ATAGCTGCTTGATTATCTACAAACACCTCTGTTCATTGTTCTTACTTCAATTCAGATCAAGCTAAACAATAATTTTCTAAGCCATAAGGCTTGATTTGCAGTAGTTGTTGCTGCAATGAACTCAAGTTCAGCTGTAGATTGTGCAACAATTTCTAATTCTTTAAAACACCAAGAAAATACCCCAGAATCAAAATTAAAATAATAACCGGAATTGCTCTTCATATCATCAGAAGAACCAGCCCAATCCCTATCTGAATACCCCTGCAAATGTACTTCTGATTTGCATAAAACTTGATTCCAAAAATTAGTCTTCCATTAACATATCTCATCACTCTTTTAGCTGCTCTAAAATAAGTGTCAGTTGAACAATTAGTGAATCTAGACAGAAGACTTACATCATATAAAATATCAGGTCTAGTTGCTTTAAGATACATGAGACAACCAACCAAACTTCTGTAAAGAGTCTCATCCACTTTTTCAGCCTCTCACTTTTGCTCAACTTCTCCTTATGATAAATTGGAGTAGCTATTTCTTTGATATTTTCAACTCTGAACTCTTTCAAAATCTCTCTTGCATACTTTTTTTTGGAAGATGAACACTTCATTCCCCTTTTGCTTGATTTCCATTCCCAGAAAATAGACCATTTCTCCCAAATCCGATCTCGAAAGCATGATGCAGATCTTCTTTGAACTTCTTAACAAGTTCGTCATTGCTTCCTATAACCAGCAGGTCATCTACATATACTGAAACAATAATAAAATTGATTTCATCACCTTTAATGTAGAGAGTAGTTTCACTGGGCTTTTTCTAAAACCCAGCTGCAACAAATGCTCATCAATTCTATTGTACCAAGCTCTGGTCGCCTGCTTTAGTCCATACAAAACTTTCCTGATCTAGAACACTTCGTCTTCATGCCCTCTGACTATGAATCCTCCAGGTTGCTCAACATAAATTTCTTCCTCAAGAATGTAGATTTAACGTCGCTGAAACACTTTCCAACCCTTCTGTGCAGCTATAGCCAACAATAATCTGATGGTTTCTAATCTGGCAATAGGAGCAAATGTGTTAGAAAAATCAATACCAAAGACTTGGCATACCCTTCACAATAAGTCTAGCTTTGTTCTTGTTGATAGCGCCATTTGCATTATGCTTGGTTCTACAAACCCATCTTACTCCTATGCCTTTTCTGTCTTTAGGTCTTTTCACAAGTTTCCAAGTAAGATTTTTCTCAATTATGATGAGTTGATCCTTCATTGAAGCTCTCCATTTTGGATCTTTTTATGCTTCTAAAAAATCAACTGGCTCAAGAACTGCCACATTGCATCTCTGGTAGACATCAGAAAGAGATCTAGTGCCTCTTACTGGAATATGATCCACCAATTCATCTACTTTCAATTGAAGCTTTGTACTTTCTTTTGAAATTGATATTGGTTATCCTTCGTTCCAGTTTCATTGTTCATCCTCCATGAAATGCACATCTCTACTTATCAAAATTTTCCTTGTATGAGGTTTGAAAACTCTGTAAGCTTTGGAAATAGTGTTGTAACCCATAAAGATGCCTGGAATTGCCTTCTTATCAAGTTTGTCATTCTTAACTTGAGGAACATAAGCAAAGCACACACAACCAAATACTTTAAGAAAACCTAGTGAAGGTTTGAACCCATACCAAGATTCAAATGGTATTTTATTTTCCAAAGCCAATTCGTTGAAAGTCGATTTTGTAGAAAAACTGCAGTATTCGCTGCCTCTGCCCAAAAGATTTTGGGCAATTCCTTCTCATGCAACATACATCTGGCTATTTCCATTATCAATCTATTTCTTCTTTCACTAACTCCATTTTATTCCAGAGTGTATGGTGTTGTAAGTTGATGCACAATACCACCATCCTCACAGAATGAATTAAATTTTTTTGAGGTGTATTCCTTTCTATTATCAGACCTCAAAGCTTGAATCTTGCAACCACTTTGATATTCCACCAAATTCATGAATTTCAAGAATACACCAGCAACTTCTGACTTGAATTTCAAGAATAAAATCCAGCACATTCTTGAAAAATCATCTATAAAAAGAACGTAATAGAGGCTACCTTGTAATGATGGAATTCTTTGTGGTCTTGCAATATCAGTGTGTACTAGCTGCAACTTTTGTGAAGCTCTCCAAGTTGATTTAGGAAGTGGCTTTCTGTGTTGTTTACCAAATTGGCAGGCACGATATTCGGTAGAGTTCACTTCCAGGTCGGATAGGTTCTCAACCATCTTCAGTTTTTGTATTTTGAAAAGTCCTTGATAGTGATAGTACCTTAGTCTCTTATGCCATAAATCAACAACATTTTCTTTTGTTGAATACACCATTTGCTCTTCCTCAAAAGGATCTAATTAGCTCATTTTGACTTTAAACAAGTCTTGCCCCGAAAGATCTTTGATCAAGCAATAATTATCTTTAAAATACAATTTTAAACTTTTTTCTACCAGTTGACCTAGGCTTAACAAGTTTGGTTTAAATCAGGTATATAAAGAACAACATATATTGTTTTAGTGCCTAATTCTGTCTCAACCACAATGGTTCCTATCCTTTTTGCTGGTATATGGCTGCCATTGCCAATTCCTTGAAGAGTTCTTTATCGGAAGTCATGTGATTTGTCCATCTGCTATCGATCAGCCAAGACTCGCTTGAAACATTGCTTGCAAAACACGATGCAATAAGTAGTTGATCTTCCTTTTCTTGACCTTCATCTACATGTGCAACACTTTTCTGCTCAGTATTGTTCTTACAAATCTTTTGATGATGTCCCATCTGCTAACATTTCTCACACTATTGATCTAGTCTTCTCCAACATCTAAATGGTGGATGACCTTTCTTTCCACAATGCTTACAAGAAGGAAAGTCATTTTTGTTCTCCGATTATTCTTAAGAAAATCAGCACCTGAGTTTTCCTTCTTGTTTAGGTTGTGCTTCTTTTTCTTTCTATTTCTCCCTGACTTGACTAAAATTTTGTAGGTAGTGCACCCTCAACAGACCCTTCAGACCTCATAAGCCTTCTATGTTCTTGTTCCTGCAAAGCATTCAGTAATTTTGCCAAGCTAATTTTTGGCAGATCCTTAGTATTTTCCAGCAAGGAAATGGTCGCTTCAAATATTTCAGGGATTGTTACAAGAATATTTTGAACCAATCTAGAATTAAAAAATTCAGAGCCAAGTAATCTTACTTTGTTGACAATATGAGTGATCTGTAAGAATACTATTTAACTGTATCTGAATCCTTCATCTTTTGAAGTTCAAATTCTCTAATAAGGTTGAGAATACGCATTCACGTGATCCTTTCATATCCTTCATATTCTTTCTTCAGGAAACTCCACACCTCAAATGCAATTTTATTTAAGCAATCCACTAGGCATGGCCTAGGGCTAGTTTTTATTTATAATAATTTAAATACAAAGTGTGCAAATAATCTAAGAAATGTAACAAATAATCCTTGCATATTACATTTAACNTTACGTTTAACCTATTATCAAAATTGAGTAATTTACTCAAAATTGATATCACAAAATGATCACTAAAACTTGCATAAACAACTAGCCCATGCGAGCACATAGCCACTTTAATTGTATCGTTGCTACTGTACACGTGTTGCCTTGCATGGATCCATTTATAGCCTTCTTTGTTGCATTTAATCTTCGTCATTGTTGCATTATTATCACGTGATTTCCATGCAGACCCACCTTTGATTAAATTTTTCCCATGTATTTGTATTGGTCCTAGATAGTTGCACTCACCCTTGAGCCAGGTGTGCATAGTATCATTGCATCTCCTTGATCTGTGCATCATATTTCCATCCCTGATGAGCGTGCAAAATCCATGTGAAAGCATTTGTGCATTTAAGAATTCAAAAGGCTGTAATGACTTGTTTCCAGCTTAATCATGCGTGGATTAAAATCCAAAATGCTTGTCCAGCATAACGCAACATGCCATATTTAAATATGGTAGCCCATGTTCATCCCATGTGCGTGCATTATAGCATTTTGCTTAGTGTTTCTCCGCAGTTGTCTCGACAAGAAAAACTATGTCCACAACCAGCGTGCATCTGCCATGGTAATCAACACTTCCACATTTTGAGGTCCAAGACGCATGGTTACCAATGCAGATTCCCGTGGAATCAGTCCCAATGAGCATGCGTGCATTAAAATAATAGAATGTGAGTGTCCCAAAATAATGGTTGAGCAACTGAATTTTTCATTACTGTCCAACACCTTTTTCCAATAAAATTGGGGAACACACAATGGCACGCCTATGTCTTTTATGCTCAGCATTTGCTCTAAAACTTTTAACCGTTGCATGATACCTCCATGCCTCACTGTGTAGCCTTCAACCAGGCTTGCCAAAAGGTGCACGATTGCACAGTCTTCAAAGGTTCTTTGTAGATCCTTTTTCAGCGTGCCTTGAAACCACCTTGGGTGCCTAATGCCCATGCTCACCTTTTCATCAATTTCACGTGCCCTCCATGTTTGTGGAGTTGCTTTACACTTGAGTTGCCACGAAGAGATGTTGAAAATATGCCAAAGCTCAACTTTAATGTCCTCTCAGTGGATTGAATACAAAGCATTAATATCACCACTTGAGATTCTACTATAAGATAATATTTTAGCATCAATGAAGTACCTGCACCAAAGTAAACAATGTTAGCGTTAAAATTGCTAACCCACCTCTCCTCAAGAATGATTCGAGTCTGGTAGAAAATTGAATCCTCTTTTCCTCCTAGTTTCTTGCAACCTTCACTCTTATGTAAGGACATTGCATCTTATCTTCGTTAATAATCCTCCTTCCTTTTGAGTCCATATCCCAGAAACCATGACATTCAATATTTCCTTCATCAAGAGCATAATTGGCAAGGTGGTCTGCTAATGTATTCCCTTCTCTGAATATGTGTGTGACCTTGATGATACTTTGTTCCTTAAATCTTAAAATCTCCTCAACATGATCATTAATACACCAAGGAGGCTTCCATCATTCCTCTATAATGTTCTTTAATAGCAAGGAATCTATCTGCAACCATATATGAAAATAATTAAGATTTTTGCACTTCTTCAATGCCTCCACAATAGCTACTGCTTCTGATTCATTATTGGTTCCTTCAGAAATCTCCCTTCCTTCTGCATATATCAAATCACCTACCTCATCCCTTATGCATAAACCAATTAAACTCTTCCCTGGGTTCCCTCTACATGCTCCATCCGTATTTACTTTGATCCACCCTCTTGGAGGAAATTCCCATAACACCTTTTCATATTTCAATCGAGGTGCGTATTGCTCCATCATTGTCAGTAAGTCTAGCCACTTTTTAGGCACATGCAGTCCATGCTTTTTTAGTTGGACTAGAGCTTTCATAGTAGATGACATCCGGTAAATAACTCTGCTCACTGACACTTCTTCTCTATATTTGAAACTGTTTCTTCTCTTCCAAAGTTCCCATGCAATGCATGTAGGTAAAGCTTGTAAGACTGGATTCAATTTGGGAACAACTGGTGATGTCCAACACTTTGTAATTGCTTGTTGTAATGATAACCCTTCTAATGCAATTCCTGCTCTCCTCAGAAAGTAATTCCAAACACTCCTAGTTGCATTGGATGTGAAGAACAAATGTACTAATGACTCCTCCTTAGGATCAGCACAGCACCAACATTTTGATGGGATGGAGTATCATATTTTACGCAAGAAATCATCAAGTGGCAGTTTGGCTTTCCATACCTTCCTCAGGAAGAAGGATATCTTGAAAGGTAAGCCATTGACCCATATCATCCTGTAACCTAATCTTAGGTTGTCTCTTCTTCGCAGGTAATCCTATGCAGACTTCACTGAAAAATGACCTCTTATTTTAAGCATCCAGAATGGTGTATCTAACTCTACACATTCGTTTGGTGGTCTAATATTATGCACAATGTGGTTTGCCAAATCTTCAGGTAGAGTTTGAAATATTTTTTCCAAGTTCCACATACCATTTTCAACCAGATCATTGACATTTTGAATATCCTCATCGATACCAAACTCTGCAGGCACTTGGAAATATAAGGCTCCCAGCTCAGTCCAATTATCGAACCAGAATTGAGCTGATCCCATTCTTGGTTTCCAATAGATTTGATGCTCAATCAAGTCCCTACATTCTAGCATTTTTCTCCACACGTGGGATCCACGCTTCCAAGGTACAATTACTGAATTTAGTTTCTTGCAGTACTTTTGACTAATAAATGCACTCCATAAACTGGGCTTTCTCCTGAAATTCCACCACAATTTACAGAATAGTGCCTTGGATACATCGTGTAGGGACCTGAAGCCTATGTCTCCCTCTTCATAAGGCATACAAAGGTTAGTCCACGATGACCAATGTCTAGAGTTGCCTCCCACATTGCTGCTCCAGAAGAATTTGGCAAAAATGCTCTGTAATTTATTGATCACATAAATTGGTGGATTAACTACTGACATCATATGAATTGGGATACTCTGCATGACATTTGCGATTAATACAACTCTGCCTCCTACAGATAGGAGTTTGCCTTTCCACGACTGCAATTTGTCCATGACCTTAGTGATTAATCTCTTGTAATAGTCACTCCTTCTTCTTGCATAAAAAATAGGGCAGCCAAGATAGGTCATAGGGAAACATTGTCTTCCTATACTTGTAATCCTTTCAACCTTGTTAATCACTTCATTATCCGTTAAATGATGCAGGTATATGGCAGATTTGGCTTTGTTCACTAGTTGACTAGACGATGATTCATATGCTTGCAAAACCTCCATGACAAGTCTCAGTGAATTTTCATCAGATGAGGAGAAAATGATTGTATCATCAACGTATGAGAGATGATTTATTTTTGGGCTCCATTTTGGCATTCCAAATCCACAGAAATACAGGTTAGTATGTAGTGAATTCAATCCCCGAGACATTACTTCTGCTGCTAGAATGAATAGGGTTGGTGGCTAAGGGTCACCCTGCTTAACTCCTCTCGAAGATTTGAAGAATCCATTTAGCTGCCCATTTATAAGAATAGAGTACCAATTATTCCCAATAAAATCAACGATCAATCCAATAAACGCTTCAGGAAATCCCATCTTCCTTAGCATTTTGGTCAGGAATAGCCATGATAGCCTAACATAAGCTTTTGTCATGTCGAGCTTAATCACAACATTTGGGCCTACTTTTGTTCTCAACCTGATATCTGTAATGATTTCATGAGTTAATAGTACATTCTCAACTATACTTCTTCCCTTCATAAAACCTGCATGTTCCTGTGAGATTAAGTTTGGTAAAAATTCAACCAATCTTTCATGAATAACCCTCGAGAAAATCTTGTTAACAGAGTTGCTGAGACTGATTGGTCTCATGTCTGCAAAGGTCATAACTTCTTTTTTTCTTTGGTAATAAAACCAAGTTTGTGTGTGTCACATTCTTTGGCAATTGTTGACCGCAAAAGAAAGGCTTGACCATGCCTACTACATCTTCTTCAATGATTTCCTAGCATGTTTGGTAAAAGGCTCCAGTGAAGCCATCCGGTCCACCTGCTGAGTCCTCATTCAACCCCATAACTGCTTTCTTCACTTCTTCATTGGAAGGCAAATCCATCAATCTTTCATGTTGATCACTCTCTACCATTCAAGGTACAGATTTAGAATATCAAAAGCATTAGGAACTTCACTCTCAGTAAATTGATCCTTGTAGAACTTTAGTGCTTCTTCTGCTATTAAGTGATCTTCTTCAATCCAGTTACCAAGGCTATTCTGGATCCTTAATAATTTCAGTCTCTTCCTTCTCCCATTAACTTGAGCATGGAAGAATTTAGTATTTCTATCGACATCTTTGAACCATAACATGCCAGCTTTTTGCTCTGAATTCTTCTTCTAATGCAAGATATTTAATCATTTCAGCTTGTACCTGTTGTAATCTTTGTATGTTCATCTATGTAGGATTGACTTCAAATTGCCTTTCATGAACCAAGACCACCTCCTCCAGGCTTGCAATATTCTGGAATATATCCCCATATGTAGCTCTGCTCCAGGTAGATAGTGCTTTCTTAAGCTTCTTTAACTTGTAGTTAAAAATGCAGAAATGGTTACCACTAAAATCAGCATTCTAATTCTCCTTTACTACATCTTTGAAGGTTTCATGCTTAGTCCAGAAGTTAAGAAATTTGAAGGACTTCTTAATTAGAGGAGTTTCTATATCACATTTCAGCAGCATTGGGCAATGATCAGACCCAATTTTGGACATGTGAGTTACCTCCAATCCAGGAAAGGTCTGTTGCAATTCATGATTGCCAAAACATTTGTCCAATCTTTAAAAAATACAGTCTTCCTCTGATCTTCCATTCCACCATGTAAATATGCTTCCTTTAAATACGAAAGCTGTCAAGTTGCAGGTATTGATGCAGTGCCTAAAGTCATCTACTTCAATGAGAGAAACTGGTAAGCCTCCAAATTTCTCTTCCTCATCCCATATCACATTAAAGTCGCCTCCACCTAGCTNACTGGCTGGGACAGTAGATGTCTGTTTTGACTGTTTCTTTTTTCCTTTTGTTGCAGATTTTACTCTATCAATAAGCCTTAGCGACAGATCACCCTGCTTGGCAACATTAAGGAAATTTTGTGTAGTGGATTCCTCATCCATGTCTCTACCTTTAAGTTCTGCTTGGCCAACTTGGTCATGTGTTTCTATTGCTTCTTTTGATGTCACAACATCATATGCCTGATTGGTAAGTTCAGCATCTTTTTCCTGATTGGTAAGTTCAGCAGTTTTTTCTTCATGTTCATTGGTCAACAGCTGTGTATTGTTCGATGGAACAACACTTCCTGCTACATCCTTCCCTGCGCTCAATGGTACAATACTTTTTGCATAGACTTGCACTGTCTTCTCTTGGTTCTTGTCTGAATTTTTCTGTTGGTTCTTGTCTGCATTTTCAGCTTCTTTCAAGACATTATTAAAATCATTATGTAAAGTCCCTCCTGGATCTATAATATTTATGTTCCCCTCTTTTGTCTTTTCTTCTGCTGCATTTGTGCATTCACTTATGCTTTGAATATTGATTGCATTGGCATTACAATTAACACTTTGATTCTCATCTTCCACTTCATTTCCTCCAAATTCTTTTTCACTATGCATTGTATCTGGAATCTGCCCATATGCTAAGACTTCCTCTGTTTGGTTGATCCATAATCTCCCTCCTGCCCATTTATCTTTTTCATTGGTCCTGAATTTCTCAAAATCTGTATCTTCAATCAAGTCATTCTCTTTATTGTTTGCTAAATGTTGTTCAACTTTGGTGTCCTGTGAAGGAATGTCTTGACATGAGGTATTGGCCTGAACTACATTATTTTTGAATGCTTCTTGCACCCATTGGGCAGTTGAGTAATTGTCAAAATGTTGCTCATTCCCCAAATCTTATTGTACACAATCTGCTGTTGATTCCCTATTTGCTGCATGATTTCTTATTGAAGTAGGATTGAAAGTAGGTGTTGCAGGGTTCAGTTTCTTTGGTTCTGACATAGCTAATGGTCTCCTAGATGAACTAGGTGAAGTTACCTTTTGTACCATTTGTCTAGTCGAAAAATCAAATTGCATCTATTCTGCCTCATTCTCCACAACTGTATGAATATTAATGGGGTCTGCATTATTTTCAGTTACAAGAATTATGGACTTGGAGGCATTTTTTTGGACAGCACTGTCAATGAGCTGATTTGTACAAAGTTCTTCACTGTTTTCCACTTCTAAACATGCAAACTTGTTTGTTGTCAGAACTTGCTGTGGAATTCCTTTTTGATTGTTACAACCACGATTTCTTGTCCAGTAATTGCTAAATCTGTTGCCTGCTTCTCTTTCGCTTGCACTCTCCTATCTTTGACCTCCTTCCATTGAACAACTTGATTGCCAACAACTTTCCCACTTGTAAGAACCATTATTGGAGCATTGTTTGTTTTGTTATCCTTGTTGGGCTGCACTACAGCATCAGTTGAAGCCTTCTTTTCATCATTTCTGCTGGCCATTAGTTCAGGATGAATTTTCCAGCAAACACATCATGGCCCTGAAGCTTACATTCCTTACAATACTTGGGTAGATAGTCATATTTGATAGTCACCCACTCAGTTCTAATATCTCCAGTAGGCTCATTAACAATGTCTAATCGAACCTTCTTAGGCAGGTCTGCTAGCAGGTCCACCAACACTTTCACGCGAGCACAACTAGGTCTAGTTTTCTTGACAGTAGCCAAGTCCAAATGGAGGGGTTTACCGACTGCAGAAGCTAGGGAGAACAAGCATTCTCTTACAAAATAAGTAGGAAGCAGATTAGGGAATGAGATCCACGCCATTACCTTAGGAGTCTCTTCGTCAACTTTAAATTTAGCATCATAAATCAAGGTTCTTAATTGATATTCATTTCGAAGCTTATCCTTTAAATAATACACACCTTTTGACGATAAGTCTACATAATCTTGCCATAATGAAAAACGAATTAAAATGTGCCTATTACGTCGATATCCAATGTTGCATTCAGCTTTGATACCACACTGTAAAGGAACAATGCGACGTATTTCATTGATATCTGGCCATCTGTATGAAAATTTGCAAACAACAACCTGTTGCAAACCTTCCATTAAATTCATGCGTTCAACTTCTGCTTCAGAAAATCGTACAGTTGGTTGTCCTTGAAATATATGGGCTTGTCTTGGAGGAATTGGCTCAACTACTGTTGCACGTTCTTGCATTGTCAAAGTGTTGTTCGTAGGTTTTACAGCATTTGCATAGTCCATAGGTTTTGTGCCATTAGAAGGCTGGGTGATGTTGGGGGGTTGTTGTGGAGGTGGCCCAACGTGAGAGGGTGGCTGGCCACTGGCCATGGCAGCACTGCGTGACAGTCTTCCCTAAATCAACCCAGAACACTAAGGACGATTCTAATACTACAAGGAGTTCTATAAAATCTGGATACTTTCGCGTGAAAGTTGTAAAACACTGAAGAAATGTGATGCTACATTAATAGTAGCCAAAATCTAGATCGAATATCTGCCAAATAATTCACCAAGAGAGATGTGTTGCTACAGTAATAAAACTAGAATTAAGATATGTAGCTTCTTGATATAGAAATCAGTGAAAAAACAAAGGGAGGTTGTTTGTGATGAGAATGGTGTTCTTTTAAGACCAATTTTGTAGTGTTCCCTCGCCGGATGAAAGAGTTATGATCGATGAATAGTGACTAAATCATTATTCATGCTCTTCTTCAGCATTGCCTCGTGCTTATTATTGGCCCTAGATGGAAAATGATATTTTCCAAATGCGATTTCATTGTCATAATCTTGACAAATATTTCTAGTAAGACTGTAGCAAATAACGTAGCTCTAGCCTTTGACTTTCTTGCTTTATTCTCCTTGTGATTCTTTATCTGCGCCATAGTTGGATTTGCATGAAAGGAAGGAACGCCGTAGTCCTCTTCAATGGCTTCCTAGAGATCATTTGCCTCCAGATGTGCCTCCATCCTTGCTGCCCAGACATGGTATCCTTCGTCATTGAAGACGGGTGGTGCAAGTGCAGTGAAAGGGGTTTTTGAATCCACAGAAAAAAAAAGATGTGTTTTCCCTTAATTACAGGTCCCTCAAGAAGAGATATTTTGATCCCCCACTGCAAGTAAAGCTATCAAATGGGGCAAAATCTCTAAGTAAATTGTTTGATTTCTTCTTCTTTTTTGTTTTTTACAATTGGAGAAGAAGGATGCTTATTATGGTAGTGATGACAATGTCATGCTTGAGAAGATGAACTCCACGTAAGGTACAAATTAGTTTCTGAAGGTACAAGAGAGGAGTGAATTATAGCCTTTTTAAATTTCTAGGCGACTACTATGTAGACCTAGTTAACTAATGCGGAGACACCCTGCACTAAAACTGTTAGTATTTTAATTTAAAGAA